ATACATTATTGTTTAATAGTGTGAACACTGACTTTCAAAAAAACATTTTTTTACCATTTGAAATAAGTACAGCAAAATGAAATTGGGATTATTGGATTTTTTTGTGATTAATACTTCATTTTAGTCAAGATTAGAAAATCCAGAAATAGATCAGAAAGTGTTGGTTCCAATTGTATACGACACTGGGAATTCGATCTGTCATGTTATCGCAATGACCGACACTTTAATTTGATATTTTAGGAACAACGGTTGGTCATTTAATGTTACACAGGCAAAATACCGGCAAATATATTTATTGACCATTCACCCAAATTGTCGCTTTAAGGGAGTTCGCGGCAGGTCACATTTACAAATGTCAACAGTCTAAATCAGTCAACGAATATCATTCATTATTATGACTTTGTTACTATCAGTAGTATCATGGATGAACCTTATTTTACTTGTTGATGCAAGTTCTGTGCACAAAGACAGTACAGCGGGAGTATCGACCGCCGCGCAGTGGAGGTCGATGCGACGGCGTACTGTCTGAGTATCGTCATCGTGTGACAACATTTTTGAGAATGTCTGTCAATTTAAATAACCCGAATATGTGAAATAATTTTTGGTCGTCTTTTCCGTTATTTGTTAATCATGCCATCAGCGGAAGTATCGACCGACGCGCAGTGGAGGTCGATGCGTCGGCGTATTGTCTTTTCCTTCTAATGATACATCATGGGAATACCGAAATCCAAAAAGTTTAGAACAGAATCAGCGAACTTCTTTGTGTGACAGTCATGTTTGTTTTTATTATTTGAGGACGTTTACACGCGCATTTCCTTATAATGGTAGGATGAAATTACCCCGTAAAATACCTCAAACGTACGGCACGCTGTAACATATGGCGTTACGGTGACATATGTATAATAATATATATTATAATTCTCTTCGCATGAATTTGGAGTTAAAATAATTGTTTCATTCTAACAATCCCATTAACACTATATCTTGTTGTAATTGGGCCAAATAAAATATGAAACTCTGCATCTAATATTCTGCAACATAAAACAGACATTCATATTATAACAGTGGATCAAAATAAAAACAAACTACTTCCTCCATGTCATTTTTCAAACAGTTCAAAATTGAAATCAGCATGGTTAAATTTATGTTCTGAAAGCAAAATATTTATAATAAAATTTTCTTCCTTCACCCATATTTATTACGTATTCATGAACCTTCGTCCATATTTATTATGTATTCATGACCCTTCGTCCATATTTATTATATCCTCGCCCATATTGATAACGTAATCGTTGTCATTCGCCCATATTTATTATACAATCGCGGATTGCCGCCTATACATAATATAAAACTGTTGTCCTTCGCCTACAGTTTAGTTACGCACTGATTGTCCCTTGTATATAAGTATATCAATTATGTATGTGTGTTTCTATCCACCGACCGATTGCTATCAAGCATGCATTTTTTTACTATCGATAATCATATAAAATAATCATTGAAGATGAACGGTCTGTTACGGTTGCTAACAAGGATATGTACTACACTAAAATAATACATTGCAAAATATAGTTGTGGGCATTAATCGTTGGCACATGATCGTAAAACAACGTTATTCGTATCAGCGGTTTATAGAAATTACATCCGTTTACTTCTGGTTTCCGTACCGGGCTATTGACAGGATGTACACAATCACTTTCAAGTCACCAGAAGAATTACCGACAAGTTGCTTTTCAAACATGCACATGATGCAGGATATACAACAATCAAGATATATGTGCCTTATAGTGTTTATATTTCTGTTATGCTACACACTTCCCATCGTCTGCTCGCAGTCCCAACTGCTAGTTTGTCGTACAGTTCGTTCTTAAAACACACCTAGGTATTCACAAGTGAACAGGAGTGATGACGATTTTAGATCCAACGCAAAGAATAGTATATGACGGTGTGTTTTGGGAATACATTTCATTAAACCTTTGTAGATAAACCGTTCACACACGAAGCATTTGACAGGTACATTTTTTGCAGTCGGTGTTAACGCGTTAGTTTTGGAATATTCGCTTGATGCGTTACAATATCTTGCAGCAAGCGAAACACGATAATATGTGCTCGTGTATTTCCAATGTTTTGTTTTAAATATTAATAAATCTCTGTTAGATACAGTAAATCCTGAGCCACTATAATAGGATAATCATGACAGTGGCGTTCCACTTCACTTTCAGATACACAGTGCTCAACGCTTGTCCGCGTTTAGACCCAATTCAAAGTATTTAAATCATCATAATAACGCTGTCATATTTTCAATACATATCGAACAGTTCATACTAGAAACTTTTCTACGATTTAGGGGCTGTGTCTACGAATATGAATTGCATGATGCAATAAGTGCGTTTTCTGATGAGCTACAATACACCATCATTATTAAACTTGTACTATACCTTGAAGACTAGTAAAAGAATAGACAAGTGTATGGGCTCTTTTTACAATAATAGTCCTGAACTTTCTGCAAAATCGTTAGGCAAACATAAACAAAGTCAGTTTACAAATGGTTCGTCTAATTGCTGCTGCTGACATATGTCAACTTGCGGTTATGCAATGATTTACCTAACACGGTGACAGAGACACACGTGTTGTAAACGTACAGGGTCTATGAATAAAATTCAACACTGTATCATTTACACCCTCTAACTTTAAATTTGTAGTGATACAGTCGATGTGACGAGAAGTGAGGTAACGCTGTTATATTATGAAATGGACCACCTAATAATTGTGTGCTCCTTGAAAACAAAACAAACAAACAAATCCTTGTATTTTCCTGGCGTTTTATGGATGTTATCTCTTACTACAGTATGACTAATACAGGGAAACGATGCACCGTATTTTCTTAATAATCTTATATTACATTACATTAATAATTGCCCGATTATTGCTTTTTGTTATTAATTTCGCTTTCTTATTGCCGTTGGATCTTTTGAATCTTCATAACCCAATCGCAAGCACACCAGTAATTCTGTCAGCATCCTTTATTCTATGTTTTTTGCCATATTACCGAAAACCCTGCAAATAGAAGTACGCATGGAATCATGGGATGAAACGGAGTGCGTTGCCGTGTGATGACTGTCAAGTCTGACAGTTGGGATCTACCAGGTGAATGATGTTATGATCTACTGAGTTGTTTATGAGTTGCCTATGTGACACATCTGCTTGCAAGATTACATTCTGATTGGCTCATGTAGAAACCCAGGTGGCGTCCCTGAATCTTGGCCATTTATGCCTATAAATTGGACAGACTGAGGACAGTTGGGGGTCCATCATTTCTACTGTGTTTCCTGTGTGTAGCTGCTTCGATATTGTGAGACAAGTGATACAGGCTTCAAACATTATTCTGTGAGACTTGTATGAATTGCTCTGCGATCTCCTGCCTTCAGCGGTGCCCTCCAGAATAATAACGGTCGTCTGCAAGCAAGACTCATGTATTTCTTCGTTGTTGTGTTGCAGAAACCATTGACTGTCATCCATTTCTACATCCTGGAACTGTGGGTGATCACTAATACACACTTCCCAGAGCAATCCCCCATTTTTTTGACTTTATTCATTGTATTCCTGTGTTATATTTTTTGTAATAATTTTGAGAGGTATTAAAGCCAGTAGCTTTAACGTAATATCTTGGTGTATGTGTCTTTCATTTCCAGTACTATTCTCTTGTCTCCCCCATTCTAGCAGTGAAATAACCACCTGTCCAGTGTGAGTTCTGTGCTGGCCCTCTCAAATACAATAAACAGGCCTTGCACTGTGACAAATTCCGAAAATTTATTTCTACTAACAATTGATTTGAAAAAAAAATACCGAGCTACAGAAGTTGACAAATTATCATGCTAAATATGACGGAAATTAGGACGAATACACACATATACTTACAGTGGTACGTTTTGTAAATACGAGATCAATTAATTTAAAGGTTAAGGTTTGTTTAATTTTCATGTGGATATGCATATGTGATTTTCAATAGTGTAAATTCAAATATTCGCTTGAACTAATACAAAATTTAAGTTGACTCGACGTACAATATCGTTGAATGATGTTTACTGTCATGCGTTAATTAAAGATGATATTATTTAATTGTCAACGTAGTACCACACGCATGCGCATTGTCTTGCAATTTAATCAGTTTTTTATTATAACCTTTGTTTTCTATTGATAGAAAAAAAATAATTGTCGGCGTGGAAACCACCGCTGTGGGAAGCAATTACATTTATATTGGTTTCAATGTCGACATTAACATGTAAGTATATGTAAACACATCACACAGTGTGTGGCACTTGTACTGTCTCAACCGACTAGGAAACACCTTTACCAAGCCATTATTATATACAGGCGGTTCTTTGTGGAGGTAGGTAAAATGACAACCAATGTATGAGGTATTTTGATATCCGAATGAGTTCAACATACACAGTCAACAATGTCTCTAAAAGATGTATGAACTGCCAAGAAACTGCGAGGTTTAAGCACATTAATAAACCAGCGCAATTTTAACAACATGTCGTCACTTGAGATACAATTACAATGTCAAATGAGTTTAATATCCCCTTCAAATACATATAACGTGCCATTTTTTGCTTTGTGTATGCCTGAATAAGAATATATCCTACTTTCGATTCAATTTATGATTTTATTACTGGGAAGCAGTCACGTGTGTGTGTGATTTGTATCAAATAGCGACGATTATTGATCCAACGAATCATCCGGACATTGTGTATGTATTGTGTATGTGCGTATTTTGCCAAAGTATGGTCGTAGTAAATAAATGTCGATGTCAGTTTCAAAGTGATGTACATATACGTCTAATTGTTAGGCATACACTATATCTACCTAGCACTAGTTTATGCGCGTCAGTAAGTGTTTTCATGAACGGCTAAGTTATATAGTTTTCGCTGCCAGAAGTATAATCATCATTGGATAATTGTCATAATAGTATATTGATTATGCATATCACAGCACAATCAAGCATTTGTTACTAAGACGAATTATTATGGGTTCAGAAAGTAAAAATGAAACTCAAAAAGCCCATTTTTCAGCGGACTTGCATCTCAGAACAGCTGCGACAGGAATACACAATTAAGTTAGTAAACAGTCAACTAACATAAATACGTTCTACAGTAATATCTGTAATTTTAACGATTCAATGTAAATTGATACTAAAGATATTCTTACGAATATTCTTAAGTGTTCAACTTCAATTATACATTTTAAATCAGGCATTTTTAATATATATATTTATCCTTACACGTAAATTAAAGCGTTTTTTCCTTTTGGATATGGTAGTGGCTCGAATAAACAATTATAACCCATCACATTGAAGTATAGCCCATAACATTGAAATATATATGTGGATCCATGGGTCATATACGGACCCCGAAAATTATGTTTTTTATTTTTTTTTATTTGGTCAGCGTTTGCTACACACGATATTGCAGTTAGAATTGACATATTGAAAAAGTGTTTCAAAATTCAAAACACTAATGTATACAGTGTTTTCAGCTAAAACACTGTAACGGTGCTGAAGTGTTAAATACTTGAGTATGCTTACAACCAGTTCAGGCTATTGTTATTGCATTTTTTTATTATTCTCAAATTTGTATATAATTGTTTCAATGTATATAATTCTTCTCAAAAACGGCTGCACCATTTGGGCTGAAAATTCAGATATCAATGTGTCCCGCTCTACAAAGTGACGTTTTCAGATTTTTGATTAGTCACATGGTTCTGCCGTCATTTTGGATTTGATAAAACCCGGAAGTGCTTAATTACACCACTTTTTGAAGGTCTAGGCTTCTCCAATAAAGAGGACCTGGAGAAAGATTTGCAAACAGAAACTTGCGGTCATGTAATTTTGGCCGCCATTTCTATTTTTTGAAAAATATTCCATCTCCAATTATGTCTCAACCGCTCGTTCAATTGGCAAGATATTTGTTACACAGCACCTTCAGACGAATCACTTCAAAATGAGTTTTTCAATTTTTCCTTTAATCACGTGGTTTGGCTGCCATCTTGGATTACCTAATTTTCAGAAATTGGCCAATTACTCGTGATCTAATTGTTCGATCGGCATGTAATTTAGGAGTTGTCACGTACTATATTGAACGCGTTCACACTGTAAAAATCTTGTCACAGGTCACGTGCTTTTTCTGCAATCCTCGTTTTTGTGAAAATAAAGGAAATTAGCTATTTCGAATTGAATTTTGTTTTGCTTGTAATTTACATAATTGTTATTGACTAAAAATCCAAAACAGTCATTTTGTTTGCCATTAAACACACTACCAACATCTCATCTTTCTCTTCTGGAAGAATTATCCCACAAGACCTCTTCTATCCTTTCAAAGTTATATTTATGTAATTGTAGTAATTAACCATGACAATATATAACTGTATATAAACATTTGCCTCTGATTCCATTCGACAGTGTATAACTGTAACTACTATACGCTGTCAAATCCTGAAGTGTCCAGAATAGAAAATACCATAACTGTTTTTTAAAAGATCATATGAATTAACAATGCACGGATAAATATTTTTCTGCAGGTATTGACTTGTGTTAAGTTTCGCTTGGTTGTATGACCAGAATAAATTCCACAGTAGTATCAGTACAATAACCTAATGGTAGACTTCTGTCAGCGACAGTGGTGACAATTAAAATGTCTTCAAATGAAATATGACAGTACGTGGGAGAGAGAAAACGATAAAATTGAAGTAAACGACTTGCATGTTGTCCGTAGAAGACAGACTAAATACCGAGGGAATTATTATAATTTTCATAATTGCAAACTCCCATTGTTTGAGCAGTGCCGATAGGAAACTACGTCAAAATTTGAAGAATTGAATTTTCTTTTAAGGACAACTAGTAGCTGAAAATAAAAGTAGTAATTGAGATTATTGAGATATATGTACGTCATATTGCTATGCCAATTTAGTAATAATTAGGGATTTGTAGGGATGAATGGCCTGAAAATTAAAGGTCAAATGACCAAAAGTGAGATCAAAATGCTTTCTTGAACAACGATGGCGTAAATGCATTGCAAAACATTAATTTTTACTTGGGTTTTCTGTCACTTTGGACAATTGACAGCCTAGTTAATACAGTTCCCGGAAAATAACATGTATAATATGCATACATCGTCCTCTAATTAGTGATAACAAATAAATCCTAAAATATTGGATTGCACCAAGTCGATGGTTATTTGTTTCGAACACATGTCGATACCAAATATCGTGATTTTACGGCGCGATGGTTTATTGATCAGATTCAACACCGAACTGACACAAAAGATTCATTAATAATTCACGATGATATTTAAATATATAAGTGTGGTGTATACCATCATTGACATATAGAGCGGAACTCATCATAAAATATTTATGTTTCGGTCAACACAGACCAATATTGCAGCTGCGCGGTCAAAGCTCACAATTCCTGTCACTAAAGTATGCCATCGTAATGCAAGGACAATATCACTGTGACAAAAGCTTCATCGATGATGGTTTTTAATTAGATGACACTGTATTATATATTTAACAACCACTCCTAAATTAGATTTTCACGTCAATATAATTGAGCAATCATATTAGCACTTTTACTGTCACATTTTCCATAATTATGTAATTATGGCACATATGGAATGAATAAGCATGTTGTAAATGTATTTTGAAATTAGACACAATATTAAAAACCAATGTAATCCAGTGCCATGTCGTTAATTGTTTACTATTACTACAATTACTACACATCGAGCAACTGATTCCGAGAAACGCCTTTCTCATTGATATAGCGAAACATCAAATGTTGACAACACGAATGTTATTTGTTTTCTCCTATGCACATCAAGTAATTTCAAATGCTTTATATTCTGAATCAGAATTTTCGCACCAGTCATTTTGAATCAATTGACAATAAATTGACATATATACTCTAGAATATATTTCATTGTAAAATCGAATCGATGGTTTCTTTCGGTAACAAATAGTACTGATGACATGATTAACCTTACAAATGCACAGACACTCTGAATTAATTAAACAAATAACGGAAGATATGACCAAAACTATGCATTTTGTCTTCTATTTGGGTTATTTAAATTTACAGAGATTCTCACAAATTTTGTCACACGATTTCTTAGATTGACAATTCACATTATCTAAAAGAAAAACTAACATGTGATAATATTCAGATTCAAAATAATTAGCAATATTTCTCAATATCAGTGAATATTTTTTTTTAGTTGGTGCAGCATGGTCGAGGTTATTTTCTTACAGTTCGTACTGGCGAACTAACTTCATACATGGCGAAATTTAAAGAAACACTTTGGTGGTGTACAGCGTCATGGGAACTGGCGACATAGAAACTAAATATTACGCTATTATTGGCAGCTCTAGTATACCATATTATTAATATCATTGCGAATATATGTTTTGAGAGTACTAGCGAAAGCTCCAACTAAATGTACTTTTGTAGTGAAGTCGTGAACGCGTTCTTTACGCCAAACAAGCAACCGCTCTCACCACATAGGCGCTATAATTTTTGTAAATATTTGTAGGCTGCCACTGATATTTTTCTAGTATAAATAATAAACGGATTTGTTAAATCTAAACTGTTTAGCATAACATAATAGACAGGCTGCGATTGGACGTTCAAATAATATCGTTGAGATATGCCAATGCCATAACGTCTTTAGCTTATTTGATAAGCTGTGCGCTTGCTTGAATAGAATTGAAGTAAAATGACGTCAAAGTGTGAAGAGTTCATCAAAAGTAAATAGATTCGTATTGCCATTTTGATATTAAACACTCTTTGGTTGATATAGCATACTCTAGGGCTCGGTTTCTAACGTGTTTCTAAAATGCAACAAACTACATGTAAAATTCTAGAAGGAAATATTATATTTTTATGTATATGATGTATAAAGTGACCAAATTTGATAGTTTGCGCAAATTAGTTCATGCAAATATTATAGAAATCAGTAATGACACATGACCTTGAAATTAGCTGTCAAAAGGAGATTCATGCGCGTTCACCTGTTAGCTAAAATACTATAGTTACATATAAGTGGTTTTATAACTGAAAGGGCGATGGTCGTCGCGCCACACATGCATATGAATACACTTGTATTCATATGTAGATTTACATGGCCACACTTGTATGCATACGTAGATTGTACATTGCAACACTTGTAATTATATGTGGATTGTTCATACCCACACTTGTATTCATATACCGAATGTACATGCCCACATTTTTTTCATATGTTGATTGCACATTGCCACACTTGTGTTCATATGCAGATTACACATGTCCACACTTGTATTTATATGTTGATTGCACATGACCACACTTGCATTCATATGTAGATTGTTCATGACTACATTTGTATTCATATGTAGATTGTACATGGCCACACTTGTATTCATATGTAGATTGTACATGGTCACACTTGTTTTCATATGTAGATTAACATGGCCACACTTGTATGCATATGTATATTGTACATTGCCACACTTGAACTCATATGTAGATTTACATGGCCACATTTGTGTTCATATGTAGATTGCACATGGCTACACTTGTATTCATATGTAGATTATACATGGCCACACTTGTATGTATATGTAGATTGTACATTGCTACACTTGTATTCATATGCAGGTTGCACATTGCTACACTTGTTTTCATATGTAGATTAACATGGCCACACTTGTATGCATATGTATATTGTACATTGCCACACTTGAACTCATATGTAGATTTACATGGCCACATTTGTATTCATATGTAGATTGTACATGGTCACACTTGTTTTCATATGTAGATTAACATGACCACACTTGTATGCATATGTATATTGTACATTGCCACACTTGAACTCATATGTAGATTTACATGGCCACATTTGTGTTCATATGTAGATTATACATGGCCACATACATCACCATTGTGATTTCAATTGCAAAAAAATTAAACCAATAACCAAATAATATTGACTATTCCAGTTACAAGCAGCATGAACACACTTGGCGCAACTGTATCGCCGGAAGAAGCGTCGTCCACAGCCAAAATATACGCCATGACAGGTATCAAGGAGGGGAAAGATGATATAGGTCAAGGAGATAGATCAAGAAAGCATGGATGCACCTGTGAATACACCAAAGAGAGAATACGGAAGTTCACACAAGAAACATCTATGCACGGGGTACGCTACACAGGGATGACTGACATACACTCTGTTCGAAGGTGCTTACTCAAATTACTTTAACTTTAGATGAGTACATTACTTTCTCTGTTACAAGCACATTGTCAAACAAAACCGTGAATTCCTAAGCGTTTTTTTTTTACCTCATTGTCCTTTAATATACGTGTAGTGAAATAAAATATTCTGTGACCATTGACCAATTTAAATGCTCAGAATGAGGATTTAATGATTTATGTTTACAAGAATGACATTTCTATTCAGTCAATAAAATATAAGGTCAATTGACATTTATAAAAATGGTATGGGTGCATATCGAGTGGTATGCAGTTTAGAGTACACGCTACCAGAATAGAATTGATAAGCATGTATCTATTTAAAATAAGAAATACCAAAGTAAATGTATGTATTTTGTTGGCGTATCGTATTTTTATTTATAATGTACATTACCAAACAAACAATGGTTTCCTCGATACAGGTGGTTAGTATTTGAATTCTAAACACTAACAGTTTGCTCTGATATTGTACATCCGGTTTTTTTCGTGCATTGTAGTCAACTCGTTTCACGTACTCATTGGTGTCCCAACATCCACGTGCGCCATGGCAACAATATTGCGTTATGTCGCATTGTTCGTTGCTGAGCGTAAATTCAATAATGTTTTTATTATACAATGGTATCATAATGTGCTTCAACTAACCCTGTACCATCCCCAATCATTGGAAGTCATTTGTTCATTAGCTTTACAAAAGTTTGATCTGTTTTTGTTTCTCAGGCGCGCCTCCTCCTTCAGCCCGCAAAAAAATGACAAATCAATAGACAAACCCGGCCCACCGGAGGTGCGAGGACGTGACCTTCGGCCAAGTCAATAGAATCGCGTCCCCCTTACCAAATTTCCGGATCCGCAGTGTTTTTAATGAGGCAAATGAAATTAAAAAGCACGCAGGTGTATGCGTCGCCTGCACATAAATATTTTAAAAAATGTGCATGTATTTTCATGTTTTTTACACTATTATAATACAGTATAATCTATTCTGAAATAAACATAAAATTATTCCCCCTACTTTTGGTACTCTAAATATATTATCAGTATAATCATAATTTAGAAAGTGGACATGAACTTTTGACAAATTTAATCTAATATGTCACATTCATTTTTTATTACCCAAGCAATGAGACTAATGTTCAAGACAAATTAAATTATAAACTCAAAAGTGTCAACATTCACCAACTAACAACCCGTAACAAATAGTCACATTAATCTGAAATTGAAAATGAAATGTTAATTATAAACGACAATGGGATCAATCCATGCTCAGTTAACAATATGTAGGGGTAAGTACTGAGAAATAATTTTAAACTCATAGTTGCTATTGACATAGGAAGTAAAGTAAGTAAATAACACCGAATGAATGAACCATCAAATGAATGTACCATACTTAGACTAAGAAAGAATTGCCGGATTAAAACATTCATCATATAGCATATACATTGTAAATTTATAGATTCTTTGTTTATTCTACACAGTCACTATGTTGTGAGTACATATTATTCCGTACGCGTATATGAAAAGCTTTTAGTGAGTATTACCTTGCCGTTTATTCGGTGTTATTTGCAATATTTAGGGGTG